TATAACTTTAGGTATATCAGCAGCTAATGATTTTTTAATAGTATCAAGTATGTTAATACTTTCTGTAATGTAGATATATAAAAATAATTAGATAAGTATATTAATACTTTTTAATAAACATATATTTTCACACAATAAACTTAATACAATGTGATGTAATCTTAGATAGCATACCATATGCTGATTCAATTCATTTTTCTTAAATGTATTTAATTAATAAATTCAATACATTTAAGAAATATATAGACTAACATGTACTAGAATATATGATATAAAAATGATTATAGCACATGACATATATATGTAGAAGTATGTAATTATTTAATAAATATTTTAGTAGTTATTTCAAAAGATAATAATCATTAAATATATAATAATATATATATATTATATATATGACATATAATAATACTATACCATGTTTGAAATATTTTGTAATACTACAGAACTGACTTATTATAGAATGATAAAGCTTAGTTTGTGGACATCTCATTGTATTTTACAGAAAGAAGATAAGATCAGTTACAATAACTGTAAAATTACAATGTGATGAAAATCCTACAACCAGCTCCAATTGATACACAAAATATTTGGTTTATTTAGTCATGTTGTTGGCTGTAATATTCACATTTCTGAAAGATTAAATATTTAATTTTTTATGTTGTTTTATGTATAAAATATCTTATAAACAACATATTTATAAATGTTTTTTATAAAATCTATTTTGGAGCAACATTTGTTTCTGTATGTGCACGTGTGTATGGTATGTGTAAGAGGTAGTATTCATGCACACTAACAATAAACAGAAATTTAACTGATAATGACAGAAATTCCTTAATACATGAATTTATGCACAAATCAATACATTATATGTTTATATATATTACATGTCACATATAGAAAATGTATAGTATGTGTGTGTGTACGTGTGTGCGTAAATATATACTATGTGGTACATACATATATATATGTGAATTTTTTCAATGATATATATTTATACGTACCGTTTCACGCGTGATGTATCATTTTTTCCTTGTTTAACATTCGCAAACAATAAAATAATACATCATGCGCATCATGCTTTAAATGGAATGCAACACATATAGGTTATAGGT